CCCCAGCACCAAAAAAAAAAAAAAAGGAACTAATTCATCTTTTCCATTCAAAGATCACAATCCCCTGATTCATATATGTGGCAATTGTGACTTCTTAAAACACTCTCTGAATGTTATGTAGAATGACCTGGGATGTCAAATAAAAGGAAAGCCAGATTAGTCACACTCTGTTCCTCTCTGCAGTTTCACATTCTAAGGAAAGTACAGGGTTACACAATATTAACTTGGCAAAAAGAAGCAGGGCTCTGGGTTTATGAACTGGAGTAAAAAGGGAGGCTGTGTGGAGAACACACAATCCATTAGGATAGGTACAATGTTTACTATTTTTATTCTGGGCCACCCATTGTCCTGGGCAATTCTAATTTCACAAAACCATTTATTATGTAAACAGGGTAATTATTCCCATATTACAGAAAAAGAAATAGGCCCAGAGAGGTTACATAGCTTACCCTAAATCATAGACAAGCCAGAAATGGAACCCTGACCCTGAGCCCCAGAGGCCATTGTATTTGACCACTCTGTGACACTGCACAGGCTTTAGAGTCAGAATTAATTCAATTCCAGTTCAAATGACTCGTGAATACCTGTTTACTCTTTAGTCATCTGAGAGAAATTCAAACTGAAATTTGGATTTAACTTCACACCCACCTGCAATTTGAAAGTTGGAGAATGCCAAGTGTAGGGAGGGACACAGGGAAAGAGAAACCTTCATGTAACTATGGAAGAGTCCCTGGGGGACTTCAGCTTGCATGAGGAGCGCAAGAGACCTCAAAGTGGAAGCCAGAATTAGCAAGATAGAGGCCCCCACTAGCTGCCGTTCTGTAGATTCCTGCCCCAGCACCCACCAACCTATCTAGAGGAACTGGATGAAGATTACAACACATGTTCAAGAGGGGAGGTGAGAAGGGACACTACTTTCTGAGGAAGATCTAGGTTTCAATATTATTCTACTACTTACCAGCTTTTTTACCTTTACCAATCTCTGAGCCTAATTTTACCCATATGTAAAATGGGCATGAAAATAACTATTCAGTAAGTGCTCAGTGAGACAGGATATGTGAAAGAGGCAAGCAAATATCTGGGGCTCAGTAGAAAAAAATAGGCCCCCTCCCTTCTGCACACCTGGGAGGTAGCCACTGTGTCTTATTCAGTCAACTCGGGTCCTTGTTCATTTTATTCTTTAATGTTGATAAAACCACCTATCTTTCAGGGAAGGTATAAGGTTTCAGTGAGATAACAGATTAAAAAAAAAAAAAACTGTTTTGCAGGCCATGGTGGTACACATCATTAATTCCAGCTGCTCAGGAGGCCAGGAGGCTGAGGAAAGAAGATCACAAGTTTGAGTCCAGATTGGACAACTTGATGAGACCCTGTTTTATTTTATTTTATAAAATAAAGCTAAATTTAAAAAGTGGGCTGAGGGTGTAACTCAGTGGTAGAGTGCTTGTCTAGCATGTGCAAGGTCCTGGGTTTGATTCCCAGAACTGCAAAAACAAACCTGTAAAAGGGACTCCACAGGTGTTTGATGGTTACCGGATGGATGGATGGATGGATGGATGGATGGATGGATGGGTGGATGGATGGGCGGGTGGTGGTAGGATGGCTCACTGGCAGGATGTCAGGAGGATCATAATTTGTTCTACAGAAATATATACTCTGTACAAAACCAGGTGCTTTACAAGAGGGTTTTGTTGTATCTCTTTGCAGCCTTRGGTCTTGAGCACGGATTTAACATAGATGAGTAAAAATATGGTATAAACACACCCAGTTCTAGTCATCATGACCTGCACTTACTACACTAGTGTCTGTGATTCATCCTGATGAAGCCAGGTCTGTGTGAGCCAACAGTTCACCAACTGAGATCACACTGGTTTCTTGGGTCAAAGGATGAGATAGGTGGGGGATGGTGTGTGAATTGTAGGGTGAGCCTTTCCTGACTCACAGGGCATCTTGGAAATCCTAATTGGTGACGTTTCATAAAAAGAATTATAACTCAGCTGTTCCCAGCACCCCTGACACCACTGCAAGAAGAAAGAGATATAAGTGAACAGCCAGCCCTGTTTTTGCTGCAGTTCCATGCTCTGTAACTTCTGTGATAACTTAGCCCCCCTGAGTCCTTTATTCCCCCTGCAAAACGAAGGAGTTAGACACCCCCCCCAGCTCTAAACTGTTCTGATCCTCTGAGAATCCTCCACATTGTCCATTAAAATATGGACTTTGGAACATATATTAAATTTCTTCCCCATTTGTTCCTACAGAGTCTCTTTAAACCCACTTGAAGTGCATGCATGTGTTTACTCTACACCCTGGGGAAGTCACACTTTTTGGAGACAGGCAGGTGTGAGAAACTGGATACATAGATGATTAAAATCTAGTTCCTGCACCACAAGATAGGGATGACAAACATTAAAATGGATTGACCTCAATAATCATGATAATTAAGGTCTATAAAGTTGGGTCCTCCCGGCTCTAAAATGTTGCCTGGAGGAATTTGGGAAGCCTGCCCTTTGGAGATGTTCTAGGATGTCACAAAGAAAAGATGCCTGAGGTCACAACCAGGCAAAGACTACAGGATGAGTAAGTGTGGCTGTCCTGGGGTGGTGAGATCTGGGCTGGGGCACAGCTACAACCTACTACAGTCATTCCACAGTGTCCAAAGGAGATTGATTCCAGGACCCCCACAGATACCCTAATACACAGACGTTCAAATACCTCAAATAAAATAATATAGTTGTTGCATATAATCTCTGCACATCTTCCCACGTTTTAAGTCACTCTAGATCACTTATAATACCAAATACAATGTAAACGGTGTATTAAGTAGTTGTTTTAGCCTGGCGCAGTGGTGCATGCCTGTAATCCCATTGGCTCGGTAAGATGAGACAGGAGGACTGTGATTTCAAAGCCAGCCTCAGCAAAAAATGAGAGGCTAAACACTTCAGTGAAGACCCTGTCTCTAAATAAAGTACAAAAAATAGGACTGGGGATGTGACTCTGTGGTTGAGGTGTTCAAACCCTGAGTTCAAACCCTATTACCCACCCTTCCCCCAAAAAAGTTGTTTTACTGTACATGTTCAGTACAGATGCAATTTTGTTTCTAAATATTTTTCAATCTGTAGTTGGTTAAATCTGGGGATGTGGACCTGATAGATACAGAGGGGCAACTGTATACTCCTTCTAAGACCCTGGCCCCAGGGTGGACATAAGATCCTCATCTGTGTATTGGACAACATCCTGGGAGAAGCAATGGGGTAATCATAAGTTACCATGTTATGAATATCAGTTGTTTTTTATTGAGCAATTATTAAATGTAGATCCTGGGCACTATCCACATGACAGCAGGGTTCCCTGAGGTATGCTATACAAGTCACTGGGGCATATGTGGTAACTTCAGATAGAACACAGAGAAACATGTTTCCTAGTTATGTTTTCATGCTCACATTTACCTTCTACTTGTGGCTGGTGGCATTTAGTTTTCATTTTCAATATTAAGTTTTTTCTTTTCAATAAACATAAGTTCTAAAAATTGACTGCAGGAAAATATTTATTAAGTAAACATCCAGGTGATACAGCCATACTGCAAACATCGCAAGAAGATATGCAAATGACTGACATTCAGGAAATACTGTGCAGTAGCAATAAACACTTACTTCATTTGAGACTTTTTTGGTTGCAAGTAACAGACCCTATTCAGATTAGATTAAGCAAGATAAGAAAAGGTATCCTGACAAGGGAATTTCATAGGACACAAAGGAAGGAGTACARAGGATAACCAGCAGGCCCCTGGAAGCGCTGTCCCCTCTTCTCTTCAGGCTCCTGTGGTTTCTCTCTGCACATCTTCTCTTGGGCAGAGCCATTTTCTCTACTACACTCACACAGTGGCCACCCTAGCCCCTACATCCACAGACGAACACACAGACAAATTCACAGCTCCAAGGTTTGCATGCCTTCTTGCAAAGCCTGAAACAGCATCCCTGAATCTAGTGCCCACCTCTCATCCTTTCAGCTCCAACTGGAAGACTGAGGGGGTCAAGTTCTCAGAAAAGGGGTGACTCTGCTTTAAGCAGTCACCCTGATCAAGGGGTGTCTGCCTTAACACTCACTGCTCATAACCCATCGAGGTAAGGTTTACTCCACAGGTAACAATGAAGAGGTAGAAAAGTGAGTTCCTGGTCCCTTGGCAGGAAGTGAAAAGCCAAAACTGTCTATGTGATATGTGATACCATAATTCAAATATGTGTTACCATAGTTCTATGTGATACCATAGTTCAAATATGCTGCTCTAACCACCTGGTCACCATCAGCTAGGGTCCAGCCCATAGCTACTGTCCCCMAAACAGGTTACTAACCAAATGGGAGACATTTATCAAGATCAGCAAGCCACTGCTTGCCTAGCAAAGCAGAAACAAGAGTCCCAGCTTCATGGGAACACTGGCTTCAAAGAATGAAGATTTCTTAGAAGGAGTACAAGGCTCTAAAAATCCAGAGAAGCCTCCTTCAACCCCTTGAATCTAAGGCTAACAGGCTCACACAACAGGTACTTGTCTCAGGGTAAGATTTGAGTCTCTTTTAAATATACTTGCCAAAAATCATAAATAGGTATCCAGAGATCCTCAAGAGAATCTGACCCCTGCCAGACCTTAGGACTATAATCGTCCCTTCTACCTCCTGGAGACTTGATTGGGAGGGTCCTCCCAGAGACCAAGYAGGTTCCTTCCATGCAGAAACCACTGGCTCCTCCTAGCCTAAGTGCCTGTTTCAAATAGAGGCCTCCGGACATCAAGGTGCCCTGACCTGGACAAATCCAAATTTTGTGTGGGTGGCTGCTCCACAGAAGGTATTTAATTAGGGGCTGTTTGGGGGACTTTGGGGGGCGGTACTGGGGATTGAACTCAGGGGCACTTGACACTGAGCCACATTCCCAGCCCTATTTTGTGTTTTATTTAGAGACAGGGTCTCACTGAGTTGCTTAGCATCTCACTTTTGCTGAAGCTGGCTGTGAACTCATGGTCAGGCCTAGGAGCTGCTAAGACAGAAAGATGGCTGGGGTGGCCATCTTTCTCCCCCTCACTCAGAGCTGAGTGAGGCCCGAGGTGAGGCCTTTGCAGAGAGATACATATGCCTCAGGAAACAGGCTCCCATTCTAGTTTTTCATTGTTCATGTTTTATCTTCTCTGGTTGCCATTGGGACAGGCTGCTGTGTGAATCAGAAGATTCCACGGAGCCACCGCCCCTGAGAAATGTCACAAAGGCCTTGTACCTGTGGGTGGAAAGAGGAGGCACCATCCTACATCAAACTCTGCCCCAAAGATTCTTCCACACAGCAAATCTCTTTCCCAAATACCTGTTTTCGYCTTTAGCACTTGGGAGTCACTGCCCAGAGCTTTAGGGGGGAGTACCGAACCCCTGGGGGGGGTACTGGGTAGCTCTGACTCTACCTCCAAAGTCAGAACCTGGCTCCTAGACCCATCAGACTTAGGGGCTCAGGATAAGTTCATCAGCCAAAGTTAGCATAGTATGTGCCCAAAAGCATATGAGGGGCTCATTCTAGCTCTGGCTTTTCCAGCAGTCCCTTGCTGCTCTCATCCCTGCTTGAGTGAGGTTGCCTCCAAACTTAATAAGTTACCACTGCCAGGGAGTAGGTGACCACAGCAAATATCCCTTCTTCCTCCAGCTCAATCCAGGATATGGATGAAAGAGAAGATTTGGGGCCTGACCCCAACAAGCAAGGACTAATTTTTGAGAGAATCCACAGGGATCTGGTTGATTGGCATGACCACATCGGTGCCTGTGTCAGTGGTGACCCGGGAGCATTTCCGGCTGCTGCGGATATTGTAAAACTTTTCAGTGAGGTGTTTGCGGAACTTCTTGGTGAGGAAGAAGTAGATGACAGGGTCTAAGACACAGTTGGTGCTAAGGAGGCAGAGGGTGACCTGATGTGCATCATTAATAGCCTGGTGGAAGTTGTCCTGGTAGCCCAACTCAGCCAGGGTCCAGGGCAGCTGCACCACGTGGTGGGGCACGAAGCAGATGACGAACACCGCCAAGACCGCGCAGACCATCCACAGCGCCCGGCGCTTCACTTGTGCATTGTGCTTCTGCTGCACCGGCTGCAGGAGGAGCGTGCGGATAATGACCAGGTTGCAGAAGAGGATAATGAGGAAGACCAGGAAGAAGCTGAACACGATGAAGATGTGGATGACAAGGACAGGCACGCTGCCCTTCTCGTAATGCTCAAAGCAACGGGTGATGTTGCCCGAGCCGGCCTTATGCGTCACTATGTTGGTGGAGTCCAAGATAAGGAAGTAGGATGCAGCGGCCACAATGAACACCCAAATAACCAGGGACAAATAGATGCCACGTTTGCGGGTGGTGGCCTGAGCAGTCCTGATGGGCCGTGTGACTGCCTGGAAGCGGTTATAAGTGATGACTCCAAGGAAGGCCACGGAGCAGTAGGTGTTGATGAAGAAGAGGCAGCCAGCCACATTGCACAGAAATTTGGGTAGAATCCAGTTGCCCTGGTTGTAGTAATAGATGATCCACAGTGGCAGGGTGATCAGGAAGAGCAGGTCAGCCACAGTGAGGTTTAACATGAAGATCTTTATCTCATTTAGTTTCTTGGAAGGATATAAGTGGGCAAAGACCCATAGCACATAGCCATTGGCAATGACCCCCACCACAAAGATGATGCTGTAAATAATTGGGAAGAGAATGTATCGAAACTCGGAATCCACACGGGAGGAGCCATTTGGCTCCATTGCTGTAGGCTGAAAGGGTCAGCTGATCATAGGGTCCCGGGTGTGCCTGAAAGACCATACAAAGGTACTGGTTAATAAAGAACCAAGAAAAGTCTATCCTATTTCATCAACTCCAAGACTCCCTGCTGTGGTTTGAAACAATGGTGTCCCCTCCAAAATTTATGTTGAAACTTCATCCCCAATAACATTAGGAGGTCTAGCCTTTGGGAGGTGACAAAGGTGGAGCCCTCATGGATAAGATAAGCACCCTTATGAAAGGGTTTAGGGTTGAAGGGTACAATCTTTCTTGACATTTCCATCCCTTCTACCATGACACAGTGTTCAAGACACCATCTTGGAAACAGACACCACAACTCAACACACAGAATCTTTTTTTTTTCATTTATTTTTTATTCTAATTAGTTATACATGACAGTAGAGTACATTTTGACACATCATACATAAATGGAGTGTAACTTCTTCTCATTTTTCTGGTTGAACATATAGAATCTTGACCTTGAACTTCCAGCTTCCAGACCCAAGAGAAATAAGTTTCTGCTCTTTACAAATTGCCCAGTCTCAAGTATTTTTGTTATAGCAGACTAATAAATTTACATATTCTAATTTTGCATATTTTTAAATTCTAAAATTAATGTCATCTTCCAAATAATTGGCAGCATTTTTTTCTTTCTACATAAAATAATGTTTTATGAATCTATTTCCAGTCATAAAATCCATAAAAATCCATATCACAAAAAAATTTAATTTTTTCTGATAAAATATGAATATTTTTCTATAGACAGAATTTGAAATTAAAATTTTGAGACCTCCCAAGTATATAGCACTGTGGGTGTATGCCACCATGCTTGGCAGAGGGCACATTTTATRTTGCTTCCCCTGCAGCAAAATTGCTAGCTTCTACTCTCCTGGGATCTTTTCCTTTCCCCAAGGTAGTCTTGCCATCTGATCTCAAAGATCCAGGATGATAGTTCTCAAAGGGCAGGCCATGGAATTAGGGATGGAGGATAAGAATGCAGGAGAAAACTATTTTCACAATAATACCAAAGCATTATTTTCCTTTCCATTGTGTTGACATTTATACTAATCATGCAAAAGCAATGGTAAGCAAAACTGCTGGCTCCTTAGCACAAAGCAAGGAAGTGAGACCAAACAGTACTAGGAGTCATTGTATTCTTCACAGCCATGGACTGGCAGTGTAAAAATAATTGAAAAAATAAATAAAAAGTTAATTTGACTTTAAAATTTCCTTCATAGCCAGGCATGGTGGCACAGCCTGTAATTCCAGCTACTTTCAAGTCTGGGACAGGAGGATGATGAGTTCAAAGCTAGCCTGGACAAATTAGCAAGACCCCATCTCAAAATAAAAAATAAAAAGGGCTGTGGGTATAGCTCATTAGCAGAACCCTTGCCTAGCCTTTGCAAGGCCCTGGGTTCGATCACTAGTACCACAAAATAAATAAATAGATTAATTAAGTGTCCTTCATAAAGTGAGGAAAGTTCTTATTTTGGTCAACTTTAGTATACATCTTTAATATTCTGTGTGTAAAATGGGAAACACACATGAAAGACTTCTATAGCAAACGGAAACAAAATGATGGTGAGCAAACAGCACTTCTCTGATTGTTTGAGCTGTGAACTGAACGTTCTTCATGGGTCGCCCTTCAAAATGACTAACAAACTATGTTTTTCAGATGTGGGGAATTGGCAGACATTTTCTCATATATAAATGAAGGAAGCCTGTCACCTCAAATGATAGGATTAGTTGTCAGTGGTGAAATTTGAGTRTTCAAGGAACAATAGGAATTTTTTGTATCTACCAGCTTGAGCTTCCCAGCTTTCTAATACTTAAAGAATTTTCTACCTGGGGTATAATTCAACTGTAGAGCACAAGCCCATGAATTACATGAGCCTATGGGTTCAATAGCTAGCACCAAAAAATAAAATAAAAAAAATTTTCCAAGATTGCTGGAAATATTAACAAATGCAATTTTTATATTATATAATGAAAGGCTGACATTAGAAGACCTKCGTAAATCACTGAGCCAATATTTTCTGAATAAAATTCTGTGTGGATTAAAGATCCATTCAAATTGCAAGATAAACCAATATACTATAGTGTAAAGGCTTTCAAAAAGGTTACAGCTGGGCACAATTGTGCACACCTGTAATCCCAGTGGCTCCCGAGGCTGAAACAGGAGGATTGCAAGTTTGAGGCCAGCCTGGGCAATTTAGAGAAACCAGTCTCAAAAAACAAAAAATAAAAAGGGGATGGGGATATAGCTCAGTGGTAGAGTCCCCCTGGATTCAATCCCTACTACAAAAAATATATGTAAATAAATAAAGGTTCATGAATATGATTCACGTCCTACATTATAACTAATCTTTAAGAAATTACCATTTGTGCCAGGTGCAGTAGTGACACTCACCTATAAACCTAGTGATTTGGTAGACTGGCAGGAAGATCACAAATTCAAGACCAGCCTCATCAACTTAGCAAGATCCTRCTAAAGAAAAAACTAAATTAAACTTAAAAATGGCTGGGGATATAGCTCAGCGGGTAAATTGTCCCTGGATTAAATCCCTAGTACAGGGGCAGGAGAAAAGAAGTGCACAGTGCACAGTTATATGAGGGCAGATTTCTTCATGTACTTCAACCCAAACAACACATCTCAACAGACAGAATGTAGAAGCAGATATGAGGATCCAGCTGTCTTCGTTAAGCCCGATTCTAAACAGGTTTATAAAAAATATAAATCAATGCCACTCCTCTCCTTAAATTGTTTGTTTTAGAAAATCTAGTTATTTTTCAAAAAAAAAAAGTTATGTTAATATGGAAGGAATTTATTCATGGATTTTTAATTTTTTAAAAATATTTTTTAGTTGGAGTGGACACAATATCTTTATTTTATTTATTTATATGTGGTGTTGAGAGGCTGGGGATATAGCTCAGTTGGCAGAGTGATTGCCTTGCATACACAAGGCCCTGGGTTCAATCCCCAGCACCACAAAAAAGAAAAAAATAAATATATGTGGTGCTGAGGGTCGAACCCAGGCCTCACAAGTGCTAGGCGAGCACTCTACCGYTGAGCCAAAACCCCAGCCCCATAATAGGTTTCTAAATTTAAAAATGAAAATGTTTAGAATGTCTTAGCTTTCGTTTTGAATATAGTAAATATTGATGGATATACTCTATATAAACCAAAACTTTCTGGGGGCTCTCAATAATTTTTTTCTCATGTCGTGTGCACGGGTGTGGGTATGTGTGTGCATGCATGTCTACCTGTGTTACTGGGTATTGAATCCAGGTCTGACCCAAGCTAAGCGAGTGTTCTACCACTGAGCTACATTCCCAGTGTGCCCTTAATAATTTTTTTAAGGATAGAAAAGACTCCTGAGAGAGCCAGACGAGGTGGTGCTTGCCTGTAATTCCTGTGGCTCAAGAGGCTGAGGCAGGAAAATCAAAAGTTCAAAGCCAGCCTCAGCAAYAGTGAGGCGCTTACTCTAGTTCTTTGGAGAAGTCATGTCCCTTTCCCCCAACCCACACAGGAAGTGCCTTCCTCTTCTTTGGGTTTTCCTTCTTCTTTGGGCTCTGGCTCAATAGGGTGAGGGCAACTATTTCTGGAAATATTTTTAGGACATCATGTGTCTTGCCCACTGTGCCAGGCCTGCCCAGCCTCAGGGCCAGGGTGAGGGTAAGGCAAGTAAAGCACTTACTGGGTACAAAGTGCAAAGCAGAGCACTAAAACTTCAGTAATCAAGAGGAAAAAAAAAATGGTTTTTTTAGTGCTGGGCACTCTACCACTGAGCTACATCCCCAACCCTTTTTATTTTATTTTATTTTATTTTTCCCAACCCTTTTTATTTTGAGACAGGAGCTCACTAAATTACCCAGACTAGCCTTGAACTTGTGCTCCTCCTGCCTCAGCCTCCTGAGTAGCTGAGATTATAGGTATGCACCATTGTGCCCAGCTGGGAAATAATACTTTAATGCAATATTTTTTAAAAATCAAAATGAGTATTACTGATTCTCCCTTTTCCCTGGCATTAATTGTGATCCTGTCTTCACTTAAATTCAAAATCTGAAGTATGTTTTCTACTGAATACACATCAATTTTGCACCATTGCAAGGCTAAAAAAATCTTAAATTGAGCCAGTGTAAACCAAGGGCCATCTGTACTCTATTCTGCAGAAAATGTGGAGTCACTGAAGGATTCTGAGTAAGGAAGAGAAAAGGCTGGACCTGAGTTTGGGGAAAATGGCTTTGACATCTCGGCTATATAAAGTATAAACTTCAAGGGCTGCAGATGAGGGGCAGGGAGACAACACATAGTCAGCCACAATTATCTGGAGAGCCAAAGGCCTGGTTCTGGCAGAGTGAATAGATAGAAATGGATAGTTGTGAGATTTATTTGGGAAATTTGATGGACAGACATGGTGACAAATAGGATATTGATTGAGAGAAAGGGAGTAATCAAGGAGAACTCCTAGGTTTCTGGGCCAGATGACTGGGGCTCTGGTGGTCTGTCTCCATGGAGATGATACTGAGAAGGAATAGCATAGAGGGGTGAGGAGAATGAATTCATTTAGAGACATCACATTTGGGGTGCCTCTGAAACATTTAGGAAGATCAAGTTTAAACTCCTAAGAGCCGAACATCAAAGGAATCAAAGGCAGAGAAACCTATGGAGACAGCAGAGGTAGGTTGGAGAGGTTGGAAGAGAACCAGATCTACCATGCCGGAGATCTAAGGGAAGAAAATTTCAAAAGCATAAGATCAAGTGGTCAACAATGTGGAAAGCCACAGGGAGACCAATAAACAAACAAACAACAACAACAACAACAAAAAACACCAAACACTGAATGTGGCAATATAGAAATCCATCTTGTGTGATCAGAGAGCAGCTTCTAAGGCTGAGCTGAGGAGTGAGTGAGAAGAGAACAAGGGGAATGTCAAATTCTCATTTGTGAAGTTCAGTTGAGTAACCAAATGCTGGGTATGGACCTTGTTTGGATCCTGATTCAAATAAACCRATTGAAAAAAAAAAC